TGAGCTTTTTCGCTGGCACCACTAGCTGCCTCAGCCTTGTGTAGCAAAAGGTACAATGAGAGGGGAAAGGGCGGGAACCTAAGAGAAGGAAAGCGCCTTGTGGGCGCGTCGCTGCGGCGGTTCACTCTGGGTTGTGCCAGGCTGAGCAACACCATTGGCCCACGTCAGTCAGTGAAGCCAACAGAAAAGGAACTGGAATCACACATGGAATGTTTCTGGGTGGCTGTTGGGGGAGCTCGACTTGCATTCACTGCCTAGTGCATCTAGCGAGTGTCTTGCTGTTGAGCTGAAGGGGCAGTGCTGAGCCACTCTCACAAGGCTTCCATGTAAGTTGATGTCATTGCTACTAGTTGGCGCGCTGCTCTATCAATCAGGAGAGATAAGTGCATTTCATGTGACATACATGTCTTGTGCTGGCGGTTAATATCACATCAAAGACTGGATGATATTACACCTCTTGACGAGGCCCTTGCGTATATCAGGGCCAACCGTCGGAAATCACTTCCTACGGCCGCTCGGCATCCCTAAAACAGACTTCCCGCATCCTTTTGCCCTCCACTTCCACCTCATTTTCCTCTCTTCCCAAAGCAATAAAACCAGTCACCACTAGAGAGACACAGAAACGCCCGATCAAACACATATGGAGATTTCAGTCTTCAGAGATATCAGCACTATTTCTTTCCACCCAGCCCGATCCCCTGCGTGATGGTCCCCAGTCCCAGACCCTCCAGGAGCTTGTCCACGCCCAAGCCACCGAGCAACCCTTGAAGAAGACCTCCCAGACCCAGACCATTCAGAAGATTACTCACAAGACCCAGAACGCCACTGAGCAAGAGACCGACGGCCGCGATGATCTGGAACAACGGCTCGGACAACAGCGCCCAGAGCGGGTTGATCTCTTTCTTCGCATGGGGCATGTCGGCAATCATACTCTTACCCCGTTCGATCGTCTCCGTCACTAGCTGTGTCAAGTCCTTCAGTAATTCCGCCAGATGATGCTCCTGTGGAGTGGCTTCTTGGGAGGCACTGCGGGCTTTGGCGTTGGCAGCAATGTGGCCATCCGGATCCAACGCTCGCAGGGCTCCTTTGCACTCCTGCAGAATGGTGCCAGCCTCTTCGATCAATGGTTTTACCTCCTTGACCAGTGCTTCTTCATCCAATTCATCCTTGGGTGTACTATTGGCCTTTTCGATATGCTGTTCGAATCAGCGTCAGCAAAATGTGTTCTTATCAGAAGTATGCTCATTAAATGGATGGGTGAATACCTGAGTGATCATTCGACACATGGGTTCCAAGGAGTCCAGAGTTTGCTGAACAATTGAGCACATCTTTTTGGCCAGCTCATTCTCCTCTTCCTGTCGAGCCAGCTGCTCGCGCTCTTCGGGGGACATTTCCGGTTCCTCGGGCTCTGGCTCTGGGGGTATATTCTCCAGCAAGGTACATTCCCCGATCCTATTGCCGGCACTGTCCACAACATAGCCATCCTTGTCAATCGTTCGGCCGATGAGGTTCGACAGTTCTCCCTGAGTAAGCTTGCCAATGAGATTGCCATCTTCATCGCGGACCTCTCCCTCCCGGTTAACCTTACGGCCAGCCATGGGACTAGGCGGTTCCTCTGGAGCAGACCACGGCTCAGCCCGGCCAATGCAATTCCCAGCCGAGTCAAGGACCTCTCCATCATCGTCCACGGCACGCCCAGCAAGGCGTTTAGGCTCTCCCTCGACTAAACGACCAACCGGTGTGCCGTTCGGGTCGACAACCTGACCCTCCTTATTCACCGTCAAGCCATCTAGGCCGCTGAATGGTCCCTCTGGCCGCTCTCGCTCGGCATCGGGAATGAGTTCGGCTTGGCCGACAACGTGGCCCGCAGCATCCCAGACCTGACCCTGCTCATCCACGGATTTGCCCGCCAACTTTCGAGGGTTACCTGTCACCAACCGTCCAAATACAATTCCGTTCGTATCCACGACATTGCCCATCTTGTTTACCACTTTGCCAGCTAATGCAGACAGATCGGGTACCTCCACCTCCTCGGCAGGGGGTTCACATGGTGCAGCTCGCCCCAAGACAGTTCCATGCTGGTCCACAATTTCTCCATCCTCATCGACATCATATCCCTGGAGCTTCTGGGGATCCCCTTCGATTACACGACCCAGGATGTTCCCGTCGCCATCCTCCACCCAGCCAGATCCATTCACCATCAGGTCCGTGCATCCCTGGAATGGCCGGCTGAGATCTTTTCGCTCATTCTCGGGGATCAGGTCCACCTGCCCAATGACCTCCCCATTGTCGCCCCAAATGAGACCATCCGGCGCAATGGTTCGGCCGGCAAGTTGCTTGGGATCGCCCTCAACAACTCTGCCCAGAGGCACTTGGTCCGGCCCAATGACGAGGCCAAGCTTGGTGGGCTTGAGCCCTGCCAGACAACTGAGATCCGGCTTCTCCTCCGTTACCTCGTCCGCAACCTCTTCTGGCTCCTGCCAGGGTTCTGCGTGACCGAGCAGGTTTCCATGCCGATCGAGAATGTCGCCGTCCTCGTCAACCGCGCGGCCTGCGAGCTTTTTAACATCCCCTTCAACTACCTGTCCAACGCGTTGACCGTTGTCATCTAGCACCCATCCCTCCTTGTCAACATACAGATCTTTCATTCCTTCGAAGATGCTGGTTTCTTCCGCCTCTGGTAGAACAGGCTGTACCTTGCCAATGACATTACCGCGGTGGTCCCAGAACTGGCCCTTATCGTCAAGCTCAAAGCCTCCTCGAAAGATCCTTTTTGCATCGCCTTCAACCAACTCCCCAACTAGGTTACCCTGAGTATCCAAGATACTGCCGAACTTCGTACATTTTAGGCCTTCGAGAGTCGATATATCCGGCAATTGCGGCAGTTCTGCCACTTCTTCGGCCTCGGGAAGTTCTTCGGCTTTGGGAAGTTCGTCGGCCTGTGGCAGTTCATCGACTTTCTCAGTCACGACATCAACCCGACCGATCAAGTCGCCGTCCTCGTCCAGGATCTCTCCATCAGCATCAACAACCTGACCAACAAGGTCATCCGGATCCCCCTCAACAACCTTTCCGATCGTTTTCCCCTCTGCATTGACAATGTTTCCACCTTCACCAACAGAGAGGCCTTTCAGGTCTCCAATGCTCACTGCAGCTTTCTTCAATTCCGATATATCTGATGGTTCTGGTATGCCTTTTCCGAGATCGGTTTCTTTCTCAGGCTCAACCACTCCTTCGGTAGGCTCTTGTACGCCTTCTCCGGCCTTCTCTTGCACTTGATCCGGCATTTCAGTGGGGACCTGATCCTTCATGGATTCAGTGCCTTCCCCGATCCGGCCCAGTTGCACGGCTGCTCCCTTGCCCTTATCCGCTAGCCTAGCGGTGGACGAAGAACCTGCCGCAGTGTCTGATGGCATGGCTTCTCTTTGTTCGACAGGCCCACGTTGCTGCTCCAGCTCTTCCTCCACCTCCTCCTCATTCTCCATGTCCTCATTTTCCAGTTCTTCTTCTGCTTCTTCACCTGCCTCTCCTGCTTTGTCCTCAACCTTCTCAACCTGTTCTTCTAGCCCCGCTTCAGGCGTTTTAACAGCACCAACATCTCCCACGTTTTCAGTCTCCACTTTTTTCTCTGGTTTCTCATCTATTGAACGTTAGATACACATTTCTAAAGCTAGTCCACGTTTGGCCAACATACCTAAGGTAGGCTTATCCACCTTTTCCTTCTTATCTAGCTTGGCAAGCTTCGGAGGCGCCTTCTTGCGTATAGCAGACGGTTTCTTGAGAGTATCTCCTTTCCCCAAGGACTCCACCTGCCTTGCATCCTCTTGGGTAGCCGCCATTGCTTGATTTGCGTCGGTGGCTGTGACAATGCCGTACACAAATGGATTCCAAGAATTTCCTCGACGCCCGTGATCTGTCTGATTGGGAAGAAGTAGATACTATGCCCGAGGCAACAGTAGTCAGTATTAATGGTAGTCACATTCACTATGAAACCACAAAGCTCCTCCAGTAACTATATACCACGTATCCTCATTGACTGATCGTCGATCATCTTGTCATGATCGATCAGGTTCACATCAGCACGATCACTCAGACGTCATTCCGATCTGATCACCAGGTACCGAGAAATACGAGACGGCAACCGCGAAAGGCCTGCTAGAAGCCATGTCCCCCTCCACATTGTGGATATGTGGGTGAGTGGCGCTTTAGAAACCATGGGATAGTGAGAAAACAAATCGGCTACGACTGCCTGATCATCTACGGAGTTAGGGATACCAAACCTTCCCCGCATTTATTGAATAACAGACTCCGAATTTGCGTATATACCTACGTTTACCGTCGGCGGGAGCCGCATAGCGAATAGGAACAAATACCTTCGTCATGATTTCCATGTATTACAAGTCCAGGCTGTGTACGGATGGAAGCCACTGGATCGACATAACTTCTAGATAATCACGGTTTACATCGATGGTGACCATGTATGATACCGAGGATCCAAGTTCAGTTATATTGCGTGCTAGGGCTCGGTTCAGTGGCCCGACTACTCCCCGCGATGGGCAGCGAACATGCAATTCCAGTGCCACGGTGTGAATTAGAGTAATATGGTCCAGTTAGCTGAGCAGAGTTCAGCTGAAAAAACTTTGCCGCTGTTACCACAGAAATGTTATTCTGTAATGTACGAGCTATCGACCAGGAGGTGCATGGATCTGGGCAGCAGGCAGCTGCGATCTGAGACCCGAGGGCTCTGGTCGTCGATGCGGACTGTCCATGGTTTAGTACCCTCCCACATCGGGTTAATCTTTAAAAGTATGGTTATTATTGATAATCGATCTTTTCATCGTTTACTGAGTGGACGCTAGTTGAATCTACCATATGACGTTCGTAACTTGAACGAATGGTGCTCTCTCAAGGTAAATGCTATGACGCTGCCATATACATGCTGTGAACCGTAGACTCTGTGAGATATGTGTAATATCAAAGGATTAACCTTCATAATTATATCATCTAGAACAGCCTGCTTCGTTGCCTAGGACCTGCACGGAATTAGTACTCCGCATACATGCAAACTCTGAGGGTAAAGCGCTGAAGAACTCAGCAAATAAGGAAACTCACAGCAATGCTAGCGTAAGATCACCATGAATCTTCGCCTTCAATTCGACTTCAACATCCAGATTCAACTCCAGCCGTAACTTAAGCCCAGTATCTTCTTCCTCCGACGGCTGGGTCAACTCCTGCCCAGCCGGATCTCTCTTCGCTAGGTCACCCCGTGCTCTTTGCCTGGCTTGTTCCCTTGTCACGACGGATTCTGCATCAGTGGCGGGAGAGGTTGAACGCGATGCTTGGCGTCGCAATGGTTGTAGTGCAGTTGAAGTATTTGGAGGAACACGATCGTCGAGCGCATTTCCTCTCTTTCGCCTAGTTCGTTGGCGCTCCTGCGTTCTAACTGGTAGAGCTGGTGCTGGCTGGGGATCTGCGGGTTGGGCCATAGTAATTTGGGAGTCGCTGGTTCTTCGCCGTTCTTTCTATTGATCACTGGGGATGGTGTTCCTTGCAGTCGTCGCTGAGGGTATCAAGTTCGTCGCGGTAAAAGGGTGCTATGGTAAATAAAGATCGCAAGGAAAGATAGCAAAGAAGGAGTAGATGTTAATGTATAGAACGATCGCGGAGGCGAACTACGCAAAGAATGTACGCGCCGAGTCCAGAAGGTACAGTCGCAGCGCGACACCGATGACCGCACAGTGGGTCATGGCTACCAAACAATCATTTGCTAAGACCTATGAAATAAATTCAATAACTCCATCATCACGGGTTGACCCGATAAATGAAGGGACTTCGAATGCGCGTCCACTTTAGGGGAGATCCGGAACCCTGGAACTCAAGAAGGGGGAGCCCCGGATGGCATCGTATTGCCCCTTGGGATTGGACCATGACATCAGTTCATATTCGCCTCACGCAAACGGATCGATATTGTCTTTCGCCATTCGGGACCTCAATTTTGTATGGAAAACAATTACTGTTTATTCTATATAACCGTCAATCCACCCATCGCACCACCCAACTTATCCTGTCGAGCGTATCTGCAGTCCATTACCTAGCCAATGGCAAACGCTGTAGAACAGAGTCCAACCACTGACGCACAAAAGAACGTGCCTTCTCCTTCAAACCCTGATCGGGTGCGAAAGCCTCGAAAGCTCCAGCGACGAGGTGGTCCACCGGAAGCATCAAAACCGTTGGATCCTCCCCCAGATTCTGAAAAACCGCCAGCAGAAGCAGATGACGCGGGTGAAGCGGCAGCAGCAGAGGCACCAGAAGCAACTGAAACTATGGATCTGTCTCCAGATACGGAAGAAACACAACTCGACCGGGAGACTCAATCAGCATCTTGGAGCGAAGGAGAGCTGCAGCCGCAACTGCAACGCCAGCGATCCGTTGTATCAGTGACAGAGCGTGTATCCTCTCCCTCATCATCGTCCCCTGCCAGTGCAGACGCATATTATCGACAGGCCCGTCGACGCGGCCAGCGAGGAGATATGAGACGCCAGCAACGTGAGCAGCAACAGGCGCTGGCGTTGCCCGCCTTGGGGAATGTCGGGGACGTACCAAGGAACCTCACCCAAGGCGTTGGCGACTTGGCCCAGAACACCGCCGGCAGAGCTGTCGGTACGCTCGGCAACACGGCAGGAAAGGCCCTTGGGCGAAGCATTATGGGTGGTAGAAATGACACTCAACTTCAGCAGCAGGGGCAACAGCAGACTGAGAAGAAAAAGGACGAACAGCTTCGCCTGCGTCTAGACTTGAATTTGGACGTTGAGGTACAGCTCAAGGCTAAGATCCACGGAGATCTTACGCTCCAGCTTCTGTATGTTACTCTCCAATCCTTATGCTCCTTGTCTTCTTTCTGGATATTGTGTGTGTTCGATTATTCTAGTTCGACTTTCGCTGACTGAGGGACTTTCAGGAATTGAGACGGGCGCAGACCCGCCTTCTTCGGATCATGAGGATTGTATACTGGCGTGGACCAAGTACATAATGGTCTTCAGCAGTTCATTGTTGGTCATATTTATTATTCTTAGGTTAGTATTCAGGGATGAATTAATCAGTAGTAGAAGCTTCGGCGTGGAATTGAAGGCGTTCTCTGTATCTTGAGTATCTGTGCTTCTCCTTGGAGCCGTTCGGTAAGATGAGTATCAAGCAGTATTTTGTGAAATATGAGTAATGTAGGCGTTCGAAGCGCATATGAGATTCTACTACTGTGATAACTTCCGGAGTTCCCTAGTGGTGTTGTTTCTCCGCTGTAGAACCTGGAGATATGACCTGAGAAACAAGGCCAATTTCCTTTAGACCGCGTATCACCTGATCGGGTGTGAATGAAGATACACGCGGGTCATTCCTTCTCTTTTCTATTCTCATCCTTTCCCTCACTTCGCACATGGTCTCCCAAATTGATGGACATGATCTACTTCACCGATCTTGAGTTCAGTGTTATGTACCAATTGGTCTATTAACATTATGCTGATTAACACTAAGTACTAGTGGATGACAGGAAAAAGTGATTATGTACAACTCCTGACCTCACTCATTCGATACCTCCTTTTTCCAGATGCGCCCTCATTCAACTGTCATTTTTCATCAACAAAGAGACTGAGTACTGGATGAGCTGTACCCAAAGTAGCCACGGCGCGACTCCCGCCGGGCACCTGGCCACCGAGGAGTAGGAGGTAATAAAGGCTCGTTGATCTGCTCGACCGTGACCCGCTCTTTGAAGAACCCGCTGGAACCGCTGGAGGACAAGGAGGAACGGGCTACGTAGCTCTCGCTCTGGTACTTGCCCAGCCAGAGCATCTGCTCGTGCTCGCGGAGATACCGGTGACTGGAAAAGCTCTTGAGCACGTTCGCCCGACCTTGCATACCAAACTGGCGACGTTGTTCCACCTTTTCGTACATACGCTGGGAGATCTGTTGCACCTCTTCCGGAGATGGACGCAAGCCCAGAGATGGGGGCACGTAGCCCTCCTCATCACCCGCGAACTTGCTCCACTCTCCAAGAAGTGCCATGACCCGTATCTGGGCCGATGCAAGGGAAAAGGCGTCGTTCGGGGGAACGACTTCACTGAACTTCTTGCCCGTGTCGCGGTTCATGACAACACAGAATGAGGCACCGACATCTGTGCATACCACAGGAACACCCGTTAGTGCAGCCTCTCCCATCGCCAATGGAAGACCCTCGGAAGTGGATGAATTCATGAAAAGCCACTATGAATAAGGTTAGCATTGATCGAAAACTGTGCTACAAGGTAACGTGGAATGACTTACCCCGTCTTGAAGCACAACAGATGGGTTACCCAATCCTTTAAGAACAACGTGATCTCGAAGCGACTTGGAGGCAATGATCTCCTGACATTCCGACGCGTATCCAGGAGCGCGTTCCATATCGCCGTAAATGTGGAGGCGGTAGTCTTTGAAGCCCCACTGGTTCACGATCAGGTCTGTAGCCATGATGGCTGTCTTGATGTCTTTGACATAACTATTACATGGGTTAGTCGACAGTTTCGCAAGCAGAAATTTGGAAAGCAGATACATACCGAATATGCGACAACATCACTACCGTGGGTGTTTCGGTCTTGATCTTCTCGATGGGCTTGTACTTCTCCATGTTCGTAATTCCGTTCACCACCGGATCAATCTTGCGCTGGAAGGCCCGACGATGTTCTAAAACACCTTCACACGTGCCCAGTTCTATTTCCCAGCCAGGATTAAAATACTCCGCGCAGGGCAGCACAACGTCCGCATGGTGTTCGATGAGGATACAAGCGAGGTGACCCAAGGAAATGAGTGACGAGTTAACGAACGTCGAGTCGAAGGAAACAGCGGCCGACAGGAAGGTAGTCATTTCTCGGAAGCTGACACAGTGATCCCACACGTGGAGAGCACATTTGCGCTTGACTTTACACATCACCCCGTACGTGGCGCCGGTGAAATGATGCGACACCTGGAAAACGTCGGGAATCCGTTCGGGAACAGGGATGGAGAAAATGAAAAGGTCTAGTATTCAACGTCAGCGTGGTCATAGTGGTCGGACCGGGGGCTAACTCACAGCGATGCCACATATCCAAAGCCGTATCCAGTTGCTGCAGGGTCGGGTATTCGCAGTTCCACCACTCTGACACAGGGATTGTGTCTTCCATGTCCTCGGTCAGCCATAATTCCCGCCAGGCGTGCTTCACTGTGTCACTCATCCAGACGTCATTCCAGTTCCGAGTCGATTCGAAATAAGTGTTGAGATCTACCAAAGCCTTGGTGGCTTCCTCGATGAGCGCTCGGGTTTTGTTCATGGATCGCGCACAACGAACGAGGCTGGTCAGGATTGGTAGGAAGTTGCGTTCGATATCCGCAACCCTCGTATCGTAAGACTTTTGCACCACCTCCGAGTCCAGTGTGTTCTGAAACATGCCATGGGTGGGATTCATGAAGTCCAAGCCCCACTGGGGCAGTACGGCCAGCGACTGAACGTTTCTTTCGATCTGGAATCGGGGTACACCATAGTCGTTCGCTGCTTCAGCTACAATGTGCCAGCGGATACCCTTGAGATCGTTGACCATATCGCGTCGACAAGCCGACACACCACCGGGCTCATTGGGCCAAGTGCCGGTATCCATAGCGAGGACGTGTAGCTCGGTGTCGCTGTCCTGTAGCTGGGTCGAGAGCGTGCGAGTGTTGATGCGTGAATCACCGCCTTGCCCGAAGCTCGAGAGGTCACTGATCTTAAAAGCTAACGGTGTCCAGGAGCTGACTTCGGGGTCAATGTCCACCCGAGCGAGAACTGTATCAGCTTGAGCATCGAGGTAATCTGCCGCAGCTTCCAGCTGACCCAGGTTGCGTCTTCTCCAGTATGGCTTGAGCACACGGTCAGACCGTAGCATGGTCTCGTCCAGCCATCGCGCTGTGATTGCATCGAACTCCTTGCTGCCCTTCCATGACTTCCAGAGGTGAGTACGGGCACGCGAGGTGGGGATCGGATATCGTTTGACATTCCAGCCCAGCAAGCGCGATACGAAGTTCACCTTAGTAGAAGAGAAGGAGAAGAGTGGATTGTCATCCAAGAAGCTGCACTTGGTGGGCTTTTGCAATACCTTGAACCAGTCCTCATGGATCATTGCAGGGGTGGTCACAGCTTCACCGTTCAACGTTGTTGCGATGATCGGGTGGAATTTATGGTCGTAGGTCCACTTAGCCTTGTGGGTGTCATCTCCTTGGATGAAGGTCGCATCAGTGACCCGAGGATAAGGGATCCATTTGTCCTGCCTCTCCGGTCGGTTTGGAGGAGGCATACACCAGGCCACCTGGATCTTGATATGTGGCAGAGTATAGTCGGCGCGCAGCAGTTCGTCTTCAAACTTGGCGCCTTTGCGGTACCAAAAGTTGAATTCTAGGCGATTCACACCACGCATGGCTGATCCTGAGGTCATATAACCGCGCTTGTCATAAT